TTTAATTTCATACCACCTGAATTTCAGAATCATCTCAGGAACAGGTTTGAGGCCTTGAACACTAATGAGCGAAGACCAGATGAGTTGTGGGAGGATGTTAAATTTATCATCCAGGAAGAGTGCAGATGGTCATTATTTCAATATGGTACACCTATTTAATGGAGCCTTTTAACAGAAAATAGTTATTTCCAATTGCTTCCTGTACATCTCAAAGTTAGCCAATGAATAAAACAGACTGAAAAAGAATGCTTTGGCATTGTGTGGAGTTGGGGAAGAGTAGCAACTATAATATGCACTGCCAAAAGAATAAATCACTCTTAGAAGAAGTAGAAACAGTGTGCTCCTTACAGGCAAGGATAGTAAAACATCTCACATACTTTAGGCATGTTGTCAGAAAAGACCAGTCCATAGACAAAGACATCATGGTGGGAGAGGTAGAGGGTCAGTGAGGAAGGCTGTGGTTATTAAGGGTTCAAAACGGCTTTCCTAACCATTGACTTTGCCACATAGAAAGGAGGGATCATAGAAATAGGGAGTGTTAGTCTATCCACAAGGGTTATTGGCTAGTCTCACCATTCCACTAGCTTTAAATTGAGAAGATTCAGCATCAGAAGAAAGAATCTCAACACCAACAAGAGGAAGCAGTGCATATCCTTTGGGGCCATTCCTAGTAAGATAAGGATCTACACAGAGGAACTATAGCCTGAGCAGAGAACCAGCGACTGACTTGAGAAAGATCTGACATGGGACTGCCGCCTTATGGAGCCAGAGCTAGAGGCTTGCTGGGGGACTGAGGGAAGATGCTGTAACGGACAGGACTATGGAAACTTTGCAACACTGACCTTAGCCAAGGCTGTAAGTCAAAGGGCCTGTGACCTTACATGAGAAGCTGCCAGGACTGAGGGATTGTGTCCTGCTGCTTGTCTGAATTCCAGCTTGTCAATTTCCCTAATAAACTTCCTAAGTAGAGTTCTGTAGTCTGTGTTGTCATTCCAACAGATTTTGGACCCAGAAGAGCAGTTAAGATTGGTGTTGGAATTAGAAGTCGGTTCAGGAGCATGAGACAATGCCTGATCTTACAGGTATTAGTTTTGTACTATAGATGTTGCTGACATGGGCAGTTTCCCTTTGTGAATCAGGTCAGACTTGGCCATCCTCATGTGCCTGTCCTCAATGAGATGGACTGACTCAGTAACTATAAAAAAGACTGAGAAAACTGGATAAATTATGTATACTGCATTGAAACAGATGAGGGAGAGAACAGTTTAAAAGCAATATATGATAGGGTATTAGGCTTATCACAAGAGTCCAGAATGAAGGTTGCATAGTGGAGTGTACTAGGGGGTGGGGAACTGTATACCAATGAAGGAATTTTTCTTTTACTTTCAAGGAGAAGAGCGAACTGGAGGGGAGGGGTAGGCAGGGAGGAAAGTGCAACAATATATGAATGGAAATCCAAAAAATCTCTGTAAATGTTCATTAGAATAAAATAAAATTTTAAAAAATGATCTTAAGCATGACAAGAGATTGTACAATGGTACAGGATGGAGAGGTTGAGACCTGTTGTTTACAGGGTCACTATGAGTCATAGTTAGCTCAGTGACACCTAACCACAACTAAATAGGTTTTAAGATTGGTCTTGCGAAAGTGTGAGAAATTCTAACGTGCATATACTCTTTTCATCTTTGTTTTTCAGTCATTAACTGTGTACACTAAAGTTAGCAATAACAATAGCTTTAATCACCGTGTTTTACAGTACATAGAAATAAAGCTGCTAAAACCACTTCTCATCAATGGTCTATGATTCTGCTGAAACACAAGAATATTGGAAAATGGTTTGAGTCACGAATTACATGCAGTATTTGTTGATGTGACTAAGCTGAATCACATAGGTTGAAACCACTAAGTGTGACCTTAGAAATGCATCAAGCCAGACAGAAGGAACAGAAGTTGCCCTTTCTCCTACTACAAATGTTCATGTTTACAGTGATCTTCCCCTCTGATCTGTTCCTGACACTCTTCTCTGTGTTGTTATGACACCCTTCACTCATCAGAAATGCCCTGTAACTTTTGGCTTAAACAGCTCCTTCTCCATGATACCTGAGGAAAACACGTTGACCAAACCATCTCCTCCCTGGAGCTTCTAACAGAGTAAATGATCACTGAATGTGTTTCCTTTAAATAATACACAAGAGGCTGATTTTTTTTTTAAAAAAAGGGAAAAATCCGATTTAATTTAAAGACAAAAAACTGAAATTATTTGGAAAAGGTCTGTTAATTTTGTGATTACATTTATTTGACGGGTTGGAGAAAAATGAAAATGCCATTTAACCAAAGAACGTATAAGCTATCTAAATGAACTCACTTCAGGACTGAAGACCCACTGGTCACATCTGAGTATCAAAATTTATGCAGGTTTCTCTTTTGAATATATTATACATTAAAGAGACTACTGTACAAAGTCTCTTCCCCATTGGACAAATTCTTGGTTTCAGCCAACTCTCAACGGAGGGGCAACTAGAACAACACCATCTCCCCGAACAAAGAGCATTGGAATATTCCGCTTCGTTGACTAGAAGAGAAAAAACAAAACAAGTTTACACAACGATGTATCTATATTTTTGTGAAAAAAAATTTATAGAAAGCAAAATACAATACATAAAATGTATAGATTTGTCATTGACACAAAAACGGACTTACCTTCGTAGCACTCAAAACCAATGTATTTACTTTTCCTCAATATTAACAACTGTGGCAGGGATTGGAGCTGTCACCAGAACCCAGGCCCTCCTTTTCCCTGCGCACCAAACTAGACGACACTTCTCAGCTTTCTTTCCACTAAATACTGTCACACACTTGAGTTGTAGTCCATGCAAAGTGAACAGAAGCCTCCCATGAACACTGGGGATGAACTGAATGTCCCCTGCTGTGGTCTTACCCCTCCTCCTACAGAGATGGTGGTGAGAACACAGGAGATGGCAGAGCCTCCAGACAGACAACCGGAAGGAAGCTGGTGTGCTAATTTACAATCCCACTGAGGGCTTTCAGAGTTAGGTGAGTGAAAAAAACCACTTCTGACATGCTGAGTGGTTACTTTGCTTCTCTGTGCTACTGTAGTCACGTAAGGAATGGATACCTTGTGGCATCAGTTTCAAAGTTAGGCATCAGCTTATTTTCTAGTAAGCTTGACTGTTTGAAATCCTGCTACACCTTGGCAAAACATTAGGAAAAAATTCCATTATGATTGAGAAGGTAGCTCAAGGGACTCTCACACTTGGGTTCCTGAATAACCATGAGAAGGAAAACAGTCATGATCAAAAGACATCTGGATTTTCCTAAACCATTACATGTTTACCCCACTTCTCAATTTGTCATTGAAAAGTGATTTGTGTTACTAAGTTACTGGAAGTTATGTGACTGGAATTTCAAATACCAGGAGGATGGACAGGTTTTAACAGTTTTAAGACTAAGAAGTAAGACTGGTGATTGGCTTCTGAAATAACTGGGCAGTGAAAACCTATGAAAAGCAGTGGAACATTCATTATCTGATATACTGCCAAAGATAAAGTGCTCAGATTGGAAGGCCCTCAAAATGACTGAAGAAGAGCCAGGAAATATTATCAATTATATTATATATAATAAATATTGTAAATATTGGTAAAGGCTGTGAAAAAGAGAGACACTTCACAAGATGGACTGACATGCAGCGGCAACAATGGACTCAAGCCAACAGACACAGCTACAATTCAATGGCACCTAACGTTCCATGTTTGGATTCCTTTGTTCCCAGTTGTTTTGTTGTTGTTTGGTGGCACTGAATCGACTACCACTCATACCGATCCTATGAGCAACAGATCTATGTTCTACATTGTTTCCCAATCTGCCATGCTCAAGCCTGTTGCTGCAGTCACTGTGTGGGTCCATCTCACTGAGGATCTTCCTTTCTTTCAGAGCCTCTCCACCTTTCCCAGAGTGACATCTTTTTCCAAGGATTCCTGACAACGTGCCCAAAGTGCATGATGATGAAATTTTACCATTCTTGCCTCAGGAGTACCCTGGATGCACTTCCTCCATAACAGGTTTGTTTGTTCTTTTGGCAGTTCATACTATATTCAATACTGTGTGCCAGCACCACAATTCAAAGACACTGGACACTGTTTCTTCTTCAGTTTCCATCTGTCTTATTCATAGTCCAACTTGCACACATATATGAAACAAATGACAATGTCAGATCTTGGGTCAAGAATACCTTAGTCTCTGCACTGACATCCTTGCTCTTTCGCACTTTAAAGAGGTCTCTCTTTTGATTTCTTGACTGCTGCAATCTCTAGTGTTGACTGTGGATGAAAACAAGATAAAATAATTGACAACTTCAATTTCATCTTGCTTTTGGTACCAGCAGTCAGGAAATCAGATATACTACACTGAACAAACCCACTGTCAAGGACCTCTCCAAAATGCTGAAGAGCAATAATATCAGTTTGGAGACTTAAGGTATGCTTGGTTCATCTTCTCAAGCACCTGCTACATATCCAAAAGATGACTACTGATGCCTTTGAGTTGTGGTGTTAGAGAAGAATACTAAATATCCATCCCATGGACTGCCAAAAGAGCAAACAGACATGTCGTGGGAAAAGTGCTGCCGGAATGCTCCCTGAAGCAAGGGTAGCAAAACTTTGTCTTTCATGCTATGGACATTAAGCAAGGTGAGGCTATTCCTTAGAAAGAGATATGCTTGTAAAGGTGAAGGGTCATCAAAGGAGAGGAAGATCCCTGACAAGATGGACTGACACAGTGACTTCAGCAATAATGGACATGAGTGTGTCAGGATTGTGAGGATGACACTGGATGGGACAGGGTTCAGGTTGGCTGTTTATGAGGGTCGCTATGAGTCGTATTCAATATGACAGGACCTAATAATAATCATGATGTTGCCAACTGGTCCAAGGGTGGGGAATTTTTTCCCTCCAACTTGGCAATGTAATCCCTATTGAAGGCTGTAGTTCATCTACAAGCAAGGTTGTGTTCACCTGTTAACACTGGTTGTTGAGCCTTCCTCCAACCTGACGACACTCTTCTTCATATTGTGCAGCTTCTTGAATTATTAGCTAGGCGTAAAGATTTAATAGATATTGAGAAAGCATACAACCCTGATGCACATCTTTCCTGATTTTGTTTCTTTTTTATTACAGTTTGGTGTGTTATTATGGATAGAATATGTTCCTACCAGATCCTGAAAAGACAGGTTGAGATCTTAATTCACAAAGTATGACCATGTTTGGGAATAAATGGTTAATCAGGCCGTATCATACAGTAGGTGATCCTAAAGTGAATCACTTCTTTCCCTCTCCTCATATCATTAAATTGTTCCTTTATTGAAATGTTTTTTAATGAGCAGTCTAATAATTTTTTTAATTCCTCCTCTCTCACTTCTTATCTCTACTAACTCTCCACGATCACTTCTTCTGTGTATAAACCTTTCCTCAGCTTTTTAGATCAGTGGCCCTATACCACTAGTTGTGTTATTTGGGAGAGTTTTCCTTTCCATATGAAGCTGCCTACTGGCCCAGCGGTAAGGATTTTTGTCTTCTTGATTTTCAGATGTGACCCATTCTGAAAGCTGCTGTCACTGATCCTCTGCAGCAAGCACCTCAGATTCTTTCTTATGCCAGTTTAAAGACCAAGATGTGCCCGATCCAAAACACCAAGGTCCACTCTGACATTTTCAATTGCTTCCTATGCATCTGAAGATGGGCAATAAATAAGGATGACCAAAAAATGATGCCTTTGAATTGTGACGTTGAGTAATGAATATTCCATTGACTGCCAAAAGAACAAACAAATCTGCATTGGAGGAAGTTTAACTAGGGTATTCCTTAGAGGCAAGGATGGTAGAATTTTGTCTTCACATACTTTGGGCTTGTTGTAGGAAGGGCCAGTCCTGGGAAAAAGACATCATGCTGGGAAAGGTGGAAGGTCAGAGAAAGACAGGAAGGTTACCCTCTCCAAGAAGGAATGCCAATGACTGTACTAATGGGTTAAAGCATGTAAGCGAAAATGAGGAAGCCACAGGCTAGAACCCTGCTGTTCACAGGGTCATAGTGAGTGGTAGTCAACTCAAGAACACCTAATAACAAAAGTAAAGCTAGAGTCTTGGTGGCACAGTGGTTAAGCACTTGGCTGCTAAAAGAGAAGTCAGCAGTTCAAAACTACCAGCTGCTCATTTGGAGGAAGTACCAAAGGTAATAGTGTTGAAAATTTTACAGGGCATTCTATGAAATCTTGTAAGACTGCTTTCCATCAGAATTAACTCCACAGCAACTGATTTTAACAGTAAACCTGCTTTCAACTTGACGCTGGGTTTATGAAACAGGAGTTGTGGAGTGAATAATACTGCCTCTGCCCACAGTCTAGATGTACTTTGGGACTTAGGAATTTCCCACAGGAGCATGGTCTTGTTTTCGACCTTGCCTGGTACTGCACAAAAAATTAAGCTTTCCTTCCTGCTCTGTCTTCCTGAGCCTGGCCTTTGCTCTTCCCCAGTGTCTTCGCAGGATTTATAAGGAAGACATCACAGTGCCAGGGACTGAAAGGAGTTAAATTTAGGTCCAGACAAAGCAGAAGGAAATGGAGTTTTCCGGTTTCCTTTTCTCAAGGGAGGTGTCTGGATTTCCCTCACACCTCTTCCTGTGAATGAGTGCTCATTTTACTGGCAACTGGCATCAGGACAGTAGTTGAGTTGTGAAAGGGTTGAAAAGAAACTGGAACTGGGTCTCAGCCTCAGGACCAGGTCTGAGACATGTGCACAGCAGATGCAAGTCTTACTTCCCTCCTTTGATTGTAGACTAGCCATGTGTTAACAGCTTCCCTTCTGCACTAAAGCATCCTTTGATGTGGTGCCAGCAACAATCAGAGAACAGACCATTCCCTCCTCTACAACTTTGGTATTGCCCTTAAAATGCTACCAACCTCACAGCCCACACCCTTTTAGAGAAACCAATGCTGACACCTGTGAGTGTGTGGACCCTTTCTATGTGTTAATCAGTTTCTTTCCATTTGAGCTGTGGAGGAGGGAAGGGCATTTCAAGTGCCGGTTGTAATCTTGTACTAACAAATCAAAACCAGTATTTCACACAATTAAAAAAGGGGGGGGGAGTAAATCTGCAATTATTTATGTGTGCCTCTCCTGGGTTTTCTAACTATATCATCCATAGCCAGAGAGTGAGGGAACAGGTGAGTGGAAGAATGATGAAAGGAGGGCTGGACAGAAGGGCAAACTGTGCTTTGAGAAGACAGTTTAAATACTGTAATAATATGTGAAAAGGTCTGAAGTAGAAAAACAAAAGACAGATGCCTAGCCTGTCTGAAGCCTGGAGATCATCAAGGAACTGAAAATGAGGTGGAAAGGGGACAAGAATCTTCCAGCAAATCTGTCAGAGCAAGAGAACCTTCCTCTACACTGGTGTCCTAAATTCTGACTTCTAGGCTTTTAAACTGTGAGAAAATAAATGTATTTGCTAAAGTCTCCTACGTGGCATTTTTGTTATAGTAGTAACCAGATAACTAGCATACAATCTGATACTAGAGAAGTGAGGTCCTGCTCTAACAAATACCGAAAATGTGGAAATGGTTAACATTTCAGATGCCTGATAGTGAAAGCAGAGCTCTGGTAGCCTAGTGGTACACAGCTGCTCTGGCAATTGAAAAATATTCAGTTTGAATCTACTAGCTGTTCTGCATAAGATGGGCTGTTTCCTCCTGTGTAAGTCCCTACCTCTGACAACCTGCTGGAGGGTCAACTATGGGTTGTTTCCAACTCAACAGTACATAACAGATAGCCTTAAAGAGACTACTGGCAGAATTACAAACACAAAAGGCAATTCTGGCAAAACCTCATAAGTGACAGCCCGACAGAAAATCTCTTATTGCCTTAGAGAATATATATGAGACCAGCTATGCAATGCTGCTGGAAAGGTGGACATGAAATAAGCAAATGTGGACAATTTGTTTAACCTGGTGAACTAACATTTTCTCCAACTGACAAGGTCTGAAGTTGAAAATCACGCATGGATAAAAGATGCATGCAGTGAAGCACAAGCAAGATCAATGAATTTTCATGTATCAAAAACATGAAAAGTTTCATTATATGCTTCCAGTTACAATTTGCTTTTAATAAATTACAACTAGGTGAGTAGAAGTGTAGTGGGAAAAGACAAACCCCAAACCAAAGCCACTGCTGCTGAGTCTATGTCAACTCACAGTGGCCACAGCAGAACTGTTCCCTAGGATTCCCAAGGCTACACCTTTACAGTAGCACAATGTCACATCTTTCTCCCACGGAGTGGCTGCTGGGTTTGAACTGCTCATATATTAGGCAGCAGATGAATATGGTTTCTCCATTCTCCTTCTACCTTGCTGTAAAGTGAACTTTTTTTCAACTAAAGTAATATACTGCACCAAACTGCAGAAAAAGATGTGGCTGTCATTCACCAAGCTACACCACTTGTTGTTAAGAGCTGTAGAGTTGTAGACAACCCACAGAGAACCTATGAACAAAAGTCTTAAACACAAAACTTTCCATTTTTCTCCAAGTTCACAGAGATTCTGGAGGCAATCTTTTTTAGTAACACTCTTTCAAGTTTGTGAGACTGTAAATATTTATGAGAGAAGAGTGTTCTTCTTTCTTTTGAGGAGTAGCAGGTAGATTCCAACCACTGGCTTTTTGGTTAGCAGCCAGACATGTCATACACTATGCCACCACCACATCTCCTTACGTCTATTATATAATGCAGTGTGTGTACAGAGACAAGCATACAAAGAACTTGCTGTTGTTGTTGTATATCGTCGAGTCAGAGCCAACCTATAACTGACCCTCCAGCTGGTTTTCAGAGGCAGTTAATCACACCGGAGGAGACTGTGCACCTTTCTCCTGTGGAGTGGCTGTGTGTCTTTGGAATTGCAGTGCAGCTTCTTGCCAGTAGGCCACCATAGCTTCCTTTAAGTATTTAATTAATTTTATCAAAATCATAAATTCTAGTACAAATATAACAGATTAAGATAATCTATTATAGTAATATAATAGAAATATAATGATTACTTATAATATCTGATCATCCTTTTATGGTATATTGTCTTTCCCTTTACTTAGTTTATCTGGTTTTTATTTATCTTCCCCCTCTCAATCATCCTTGGTAACCATCTAAGAATACTTCTGTGTGTATACCTTGCCTTGGCTTTTTATATTAGTGATCTATCTTATATCATAATAGTTCTTTTGTGACTTATAGTTTAACATATTGTCCTCTAGATGCAACCATGTTATGCTTTAGAGTGTTGCATGATAGTACTTCATTGTATGAATGTACCATACTCTCTTTATCCATGCATCTTGTTCGATACTAGGATTCTTTTCTCTGTGCTTTTATGAGTAATACTCTAGTGAATATGAGTGTACATGTATCTACTTGTGTAGCAGCTCTGCGGATCTCCCAAACAAGCTACACCATAGGGATGTGAAAAATGGCAACCAGAGCTCCATACTATTCTAAAGATGTTATTTTATAAAATGTAGGTATAGATCATAAAAGCATTATTTATGCTAGTATTACTGTATTTCAATAAGTTGAAAAATATTCTTTAAATTTTTTTAGCCATGAGACATCTGGCAAAATATTTCACTAAAGTCAGAGCCTTGAAAGTAGTTCTACCCTCATGTTGTTACGTGAACTGAGATTGACTCAATGACAACTAACAAGTACTGACAGGATGTCCAGCACTACTCCTACACTAGCACACACAAGGCCCTTACACTATGAGATCTTTGAAGGCATATAAATTGATATATTTCAGCAACTATATGCTGCCCTGGACACAATCACCAGGTTATGCCAAGAAATCTCGAGGACAACCACCTTGCCAACTGACCGGAAAAGATCTATATTTATTCCTATTCAAAAAAAAAAGGTGATCTAACAGAGTATGGAAATTATCAAACAATATCATTAATATCACTTACAAGCAAGATTGTGCTGAAGATTATCCAAAAACGACTGGACCAGTACATTAGACAGATGTGGGTGCAGGCTGGGTTTAGAAGAGGCTGTGACACTAGGGACACCATAGCCAACATTAGATGGATCTTAACCAAAAGAAGAGAGTATCTATCTGAGGAATATCTATCCATGTTTCATTGACTATGCAAAGGCATTTGACTGTGTGGATCACAACAAACTGTGGCTAAGCTTGAGAAGAATGAGAATCCCAGGACACTTGATTGTGCTCATAGAAAACCTATACTTGGACCAGGAAGCAGCTGTCAGAAAAGGACAGGGAAACAAGGCATGGTTCAGGATCCCTGGAAAGGTGTATATCAGGGATGCACCCTATCTCCGTACCTTTTCAATCTATATGCAGAACACATCACCTGGTGGGGAGCATGGACTTTATGAGGAAGAATGTGGCATTAGGATTAGAGGGAGACTCATCAACAATCTGCATTATGCAGATGACACAACTCAGCTTGCTGAAACTGAGGATGACATAAGGCATTTGTTACAGAAGGTCAAGGATTGTAGTCTTCAATAAGGAAACAAAGATTCTCAAAACTGGGCCAAGTGGGAAATTCATGATAGAACAACTTTAGCTTGCTTGGTTCAGTCAACATTCTTGGCACCAGGAGTCAGGAAATAAAAAGACAAATTTCATTGGGAAAGTCTGCTGTCAGGGACCTCTCTAGTTTACTGAAGAGAAACAATGTCAGTCTGGAGACTATAAGATGTGCCATGTTATGCAAGAGAGAGTTGGGATAACCAAAGGAGGATTCATGTCTGAGCTGTGGTGCTGGAGAAGAGTGTTGAGCATACTGTGGACTTCCAAGAGAACAAATAGGTCTGCCCTGGAGAGTGTGAAACCAGGCTGCTCCCTGGAGGCAAGGATTTTGAAGCTCTGTTGACATAATTATGGCACGAGGCCAGGAGGTACCAGTCCTTGGAAAAGGACATCAAGCTTGGAAGGGTGAAGGGACAGCACAGGAGAGGAGGAGCCAGGATAAGATGGATTGATTCAGTGATTAGAGAAATGAGCCAAAGTCTGTCAGAGACGGTGAGACTAGCTCATGATAGTGCAGGGTTCAGATAGGGTCATGATGAATCACAGGCGACTTGAATCACAACAACTTGATGGCATATAACAACAACAACAAGAAAACATAGGGAGCTCTGGAGACATACTGGCAAGAAACCGCACTACAATCCCAAAGGCACACCAGCTGCTCTGTGGGAAAAGGATGGGAAATCTCTACCCATGTGATTAACTGCCTCTGAAAATCCACCAGAGGGTCAGCTATGGGTCAGTTCTAATTCTACAGTTTACAACAAAAACAAGGAAGCATAGGGAGCTTTGGTAACCTAGAGGCAAGAAGATACGCTCCAATTCCAAAGTCACACCGTTCAAATGCATCAGTTGCTCTGCAGGATTAAAATGGGCTATCTTCTCCCGTGTGAGCTTTGTGCCTCTGAAAACTCAATGAAGGGTCAGCTATGGATTGATTCGACTCAATGGCACACAACAAGAAGGAAGCATAGCTAGGAAGTGGCCAAGTCAGTACAGGAAACCAGGCCTACTTAACCTCAAAGCTTCATTCTCTAAATGCTGTCCACAGAGATCAGGTGTGGCAACACATGACTGGCTTTGCATAAATGTTAAGCTGCTGGATGCTGAGAATGAATGAAATTTTCAGAGCAACCACCAGCTATGCACAACTTACTTTATAGATCTCTTCATATGTTTCTTCATCAATTTCTATAGTAGTCACCGTTTCTTCCACATCTCCCAATATCATATTTAAATGTTGATCATAAGCCTGAAGCAAGGAGGAAAACAAGAATTTAATAATCAAATTCTGAAAAGAATAAACAGGAATTATATTATGTAAATGGCTCAATTACAACTTGCTTACTCCTCATACTTCACATTATTTTTTCTTTTTTTAAATTATTTCCTCTGTGTGTGTACCATCAAATCAGATTTGACTGGTACCGGGGGAGACTGGAGATTGCCTCTCCTTTTCCAGCAGAGCATCTGGTGAATTCGAACCACATACTTCTGGGATTGCAGTGCAGCTTCTTGCAACTAGGCCATGAGAGCTCACTTACAAATTATTTTTCTTATACTACAAACTTTTATACTTCCGTAGCTTGCCTCTGGAAACCCTATGACACTGATGTGTCAAATGCGTTAATGGGGGGAGCTCTGGAGGCCTAGTGGCAAGAAACTGCACTGCAATCCCAGAGGAACACGGTTCGAATCCACCAGACGCTCTGCCGGAGAAGGAGGCGCAATATCCTCCTGTACCAGTCAGATCTGATTTGACGGTACACGTACACAAAATTAAAAAAAAAAAATGCGTTAATGGTTGGTTACCCAATGCAGACAGTGTGGGTTGGAGTTCCCCAATTAAAACAAGCTTGGAAGAAGGAGTGGCATCCACTTTCATAATAGCTTGCCTCTGGAAACCCTATGAACATGGAGAAGAGGATGAGACACCCAAGTGTTGACTCTCCTTCACAGGGTTGCTGAGTCTCCTGCGATTCAACGGCACTTAGCAACAACAGCAACAACCTTTTATATGCAAATGAAAAATAATCAAGTGTATTTTTCTTTAAAAATCCCATCCAATAATAATTTAATTGATCTGACAAAAACATAGAACCATTTATATGGTCCACAATGAATTCACTCAACATAAGTTAAAATGGTTTTTTAAGTGTCCTCTCTGATCCTAGCTCAGGTAACCACATGAGTGGAACTACTTTCAAGGCTTTGACCTTTGAGAGAGATTCAAAACAGTCATATCATAAGTAAATATTGATACTGAAATGTGAAAAAGACAAGATTAATCGTTCATTAGTAGCTTTCTTCCTATTTATAACAATATGATAACAATAAAACAGAAAAGGAGATCAAAAGTCTTGGTTTAACTGCTAAGGCAATGAGACTGTAGTGTCTTAAAGGCATAAGACACTGTCACTCACATTTTCCTGGAATGGCCAAAACAAAGGTTAAATGAGAACAATGCCATGCCCCTTTATTAAATATTCAGACCACAATTGTGTTTCACATCTATGAGCTCCATCAATAAACATTTTCAACCAAATATCTAGGGATGTTCTCAATCCAAGCTCCAGAATTTAGGGTTTTTACTAAAAAGTGAACTTTGATAAGAACTGGTGCACCACTCACATCAAAATGAAAAGAGAAAACCAGCCATGTTGGGAATACCTAGAGAGAACGCTAAGAAGAAAAGCCTATAGCTGAATGGCAGAAAAACCAAGCAGGCTCATATGCTAATTAAACATTAAGTAGGAGGACATTTAAGATAGAGGCAATTGGCTCTATAGAGAGAAAGGAACCCTTGAGAGCTTGATTAATACCTCTAACTTGGCTGCCTTTCCACATGCCACAAGTACATGTGTATAAGTTCAATCCCACTTTTCTCCCCAAGTTGTCAGTATTCCATTTCCTGGGGAACCTCTTTAAGTCTTGCTATAGGAAAAACCCACTACCTTCCCAATATCCTTCCTTCTCTCCAAGCATGTTCAGTGCTTATTTATGGAAGGTGAAATCGTGGTACTGAAAAGTAGGATTGAAGTTAGGTTCAGAGTTCTGGATCTCCTTTACTGTTTATGTCGTCCTTTTTTTTTTTTTTACTATGATGCACTTCAGTATCACTTCTGTAAATGTAAACAGGGATAATTAGTCTCTCTGGGCTGCTTGTGAGGAAGAGCCATTCCTTGGAAAAATACATCATGCTTGGAAAGGTGGAGGGTCAGTGAGTGAGAGGACTCCCACCAAGAGGTTTTGACACAGTAACTATGGGCTCAAGTATATCTGAGATGGTTAGGATAGCACAGGATAGGACAAGACTCAGATTTGTTGTCTACAGGATCACTATGAGTCACAGTCAACTGGACAGCACCTAAAAACATCTCAGACAGGGTGGTTCTAAAGACCAAATGAGATACTACATAGAGATCATTTAGAATAATATGTGCCTGTTATCTGGTACTCTTGTGTGGCTCCAACTCATTGCATCCCTCAGGATAAGAGAACACTACACTGCCTGATCCTGCACCAGACTCACAACTGCTACTGCGTTTGGTATAGTCATCAGTCAGTTCACCTTGTTGAGGGTCCTCCTCTTTTTCATTATATTTGCTTTGTACTTAAATGCTTGAAAAAGACTTATATTTAAAATCAAGGTAGAGTAGTAGTGATAAAAACAACATACTTAGGAAGGTACTAAAGTCATCAAGAATAGGTAAACTTTCAGTTTATTCTCTTTATGAAAAAATGGGAGCACTTGAAGGCATCAACTCTAGAGAAATAAGCGCAGAAAAAAAAATATGTACAAATATACAAATGCACAATTATTCAGAATAACAAGAAATCCAAAGCCTAAGCATCATTACTAACATATACCAAATCTCACATACTCATTTTAAAAAACAAAAGATTTCTATGCATTCATGACCAATGATTTCCAAGAAAGATCAAGTGGCAAAAGGTGCTAAGAAAGGAGAGCAGGATCACACTTCTCAAGCGTTGTCAGCTATCACTGAGTCAGTTTCAATTCCTAGCAACCCCAATGACAAAGGAGAGCTGCCTCACATGGTTTTCAAGGCCAGCATCTTTAATGCAAGTGTATCACCAGGTCTCCTGCCTGCTGAGTAGCTGGCTAAGCTTGAACAACCCATGGGCACTTTGATTACTCATTTTTTTTTACCCATTTTGCCATCAGGGCTCTTCGAGTGGCGTCTTTGATACACATTCACATCCATAAGACTATAAATACACTGCAAGGTGGCAGCCTTTACGCCGTGTGGTGCGCATGTGCAGGCAGTTTTTGCTGGTTAAGGGTAGAGAGGAGGACCCAGGCGGCCAGCTGAGTTGGAGCTGAGCTGGGTCGGGATGGACGAGGACGTGCTGACCACCCTTAAGATCCTCATAATCGGCGAGAGCGGGGTGGGCAAGTCCAGCCTGCTCTTGAGGTTCACAGATGATACTTTTGATCCAGAACTTGTAGTAACAATAGGTGTTGACTTTAAGGTAAAAACAATTTCAGTGGATGGAAACAAGGTTAAATTTGCAATATGGGATACTGCTGGTCAGGAGAGGTTCGGAACATTAACTCCCAGTTATTACAGAGATGCACAAGATGTTATATTAGTTTACGATGTCACAAGAAGAGACACCTTTGTTAAACTTGATAATTGGTTAAATGAATTGGAAACATACTGCACGAAAAATGACATAGTAAACATGTTAGTTGGAAATAAAATTGATAAGGACAACCATGAAGCTGATAGAAATGAAGGCCTGAAATTTGCACAGAAGCATTCCATGTTATTTACTGAAGCAAGTGCAAAAACCTGTGATGGTGCACAATGTGCCTTTGAGGAACTAGTTGAAAAGATCATTCAGACTCCTGAACTGTGGGAAAGCGAGAACCAGAATGAAGGAGTAAAACTGTCACACAGAGATGAGGGCCATGGAGGAGGCACGTGTGGTGGTTACTGTTCTGTGTTATAAACTCTGGGAAATTCCATCTCTTGTATATTTGCTCAGATAGTGACATCTTTCTGTATATAAACTCTTTAACTGCTATTTTAGGGACCTTGCAGTTTGCACATATTTGTTTTATATCATGATGATAAAAAAATTGCAGGAAATCCCACTCATTGGCTTTCCCAGGTAACATGTTATAGCAAGAATGCAGTTTGCAGTTTACAGTTTTTTATGTAACATAGTTAACATATGTAAAATAGGTGTACCTTAATAAGTACATCTGATTTTATGGTTTACATTTATCATGTAATTTTTTAAAAATACATCTATATAGTATATGTTGATACAAGGTCTGCTTTTGATCTCCTTTTTTTTCCTCAAGTATTCCTATTAATTATTGAATTATTTAGTATCTAGAACTCCTAGAAATACTAGGAAGCATCCTTGGATCATCAAATCTGGCAAATTGCCATTCAGGAATAACAAAGAGCAAGCTTTTCTAGGATGTGTGCCAACAGATTCTGTTTTAGTATTAAGAGTCTCATTACAGAAAGCCCCAACCAATTTATAATTAAATCTACTTGTTCTGATGATGCTTCTAAACTAGCAGTAATGTTAAAGAAGTTTGATCTTACTTTTTAATTTGCATAATTGAATAAAACACTTGCATAATAACTAGGGTTTTAATTCTGTGGTAAATACGTTGGATTCATGGCCCTTTTGCACGCATTTTTAGTCATGTGGTTGGCAGAGTGATGGCAAAGGTTTTCCTCCATTTTGGTTTCAGAAGGACATGAAAAGTGTTTATTTTAACATATAATTCTTACAACTGTCAAAATCAACTTCCTTTTCTCATAAATGTTGGTAGTGTCTGTCCACGTACATCAGTCGTAACTTGAATGTTGATGAATATATCCTTTGACCTTTGTAAATGGCTAGTTAATAGTCAGAAACCCCAATTTCTATGTTTTAAGAAATAGAGAAAAACACTAAATGACAATTTGAGAAAGTCTTCCAGATTTTGATGTGTATGGGAGCCTACTATTGTAATGAAAGTCTTGATAATTCACTGTAACAAGTAGCCAATAGCTTACCAAACCCAACTTGTACAGACTAATAAATCTTTTCCACAAGAAAGAAAAAAGAATATAAATACACTGCAAACACTGAAAAGTACACAGTGCTTACCAACAAAGAAAATCGGACACTATATATTTCTGTGCGGCTTAATTTCTCTGTAGTTGCATTTATAATTTATTTAGTTCATATATAACCAAAGTTAACAAGTGGCTTTTTAGTAATTTTAAAACAATTTTATTGTTTTTGATATTTAATATGTAACAGTTTATATAAAATCCTTTTCTAAAAATTTAATAAGAACGGAGAATAAATAAATATTCTTTATAAGACAGCAGAAAGGAAAAAGGGGGAAGGAAAATACTCTCAAAGCAGCTTTTTGTTAAGAGGTAAAACCCCGTTTGTATTTAAAGAAATTTGAGGCTGTTTCCAACTACCTCTCTTTAAGTCTTCACAATGTGAAATACTTTTTCACACTGGAAAGTTTTTATGTATCAGGAGAGTGGGGCCAATGGAGGATGGCTTCAAAATAAATGAATATATTAACTTACGTGTAATCTTCCTCGGAGCTCTCGGTCATTGCGCATCTTCACATAAATTCGCTCATCCAGGCTGAGCCTGATAAGATCTAGAGGCTCCTCTACTGTGTTGGTGGTTTGTTGCTGACAAAAGAAACCAATGTGGTGTTACAGCACTAAACACAGTGCAGTGCTAATGACTGTGGGAAAGCCACTTACCCCAAGCTTCGGTTTCCTATATACCTTATACTGCTGTGAAGCCCAAACAACACACAGGTAGTCCCAAATTTATGTGTTCAAACTACAATGAATCACAGTTATGGTAGTCTATTTTGGCCTAGTGGTAAGAAGCTGTACTGCTATCTTGAAGGCTGGGCATGCAGTTCGAATCTACCAGCTCCTCTGCAGGAGGAAGAGGGGCAATATCCTCCCATGCAATGAACTGCTTCTGAAAACCTGCCAGAGGGTCTGCTATGGGTTGGTTCGGACTCTATGTTACTCAACAACAATATGTAGACAGAATGTTGCAGTGTGTAATTTGCTAATGTTATTATTCTCAAATGCTAACTGTCATATGTTTATGACTTACTGTCCTACAACAATGCTGGTCTACTACAATAAGTGTCAGGGCAGAGAGTTTTAACAAATAGGGAGCCAGGTAATATTCAATTCTAATGACATGTAACAAATAAATGAACTGCACATGTACCTGATAGTTGTTAAAATGCCAATTTCATTAAAATACTCTTTGGTGTATATGGAATATTGCATCTCAAATTGGTAGAGTACCCTCTCTAGCATTATCCCACTTGGCTTATTTTTTTTATTTCAATGTGAGCTAAAAGTGAAATTAAGTGGGTTCTGATCAATGTCTAGAAGTCCACCTTACTGTAATTGGTAAAACACTGTTCAATTCTTTATCACTGAAGTTCCATGATTCATGTATTTTTATATTTCTTATACATTGTAATAAATTATAAAGATGTGAACTGTAAAGCTACAAGTAAAAGGGCATAAAAGAAAAGAAAGCAGGAGCTCCAGTGGCATAGTAGCAAAAAGCTGTGTTGCAATACTTAAGGTGAATGGTTTGACTCCACCAGATGCTCTGCTGGAGAAGGAGGGGCAATATCCTCCTGTGCCAGCAGAATCTGACTGGATGGTACACAAGAAAGAAGAGAGAGAGAGAGAAGTACTGGAGTACTTAGAACCAACTTACGACAGAGTCATTAGAATGGAACTTACTCATAATGTGGGGATTACCCGTCCATGCCTTTAAGGAGCAGAATGAGACTTGGTCTCACACAGTTTATTAATATTATCAAGAGGTGTCAGTCTGTCAGTCCTTGGGAAAGGACACAAAGCTCAGAGAAGCAGAGGATGCAACTGAAGGCCAGTAAGACCCTTCATGAGATGTTCTGACAGAGTAATTTCAACAAAGGGAGTAAGCACAGTAAAGATTACTGTGAGGATGACACAAGACTGAGCAAGGTTTCAATGCGTTGTACACCGATGACAGCACTTCACAACCACCACTACCTGTATATGAGTCACCTGGCCTGGCACATTATTTAAAAACAGTACACTCACGTTGATCCCATTATGGGTCAACTGTGCTGACAAGGTTTTATGTGTATGTGTTTTCTTTTTTATTATTAATTTTAATGAACGTTTACAGAGACTTTGGATTTCCATTCATTCACTGTTGCACTGCCAGGAGTTTTAAAGGCCGACTTTTAAAAAGATTGCTAGGCTTTCTAAACTGGCACCTTGTGGACTTGACCTGAGCATGTTAACTGTTTGTACTGCTCAGTGCGAGAACACATGAAGGGTAAAAGACGAACATGCAGGGAGCAGTTACACAGACTGCAAAGCTATCATACTATACTAATTTACTTTTCTCCCTCACAATGTAAACTGACTCAATTCAAGTGTCTAGGAGAGCCACTTTAGAATTTAACTTCATGTCCACTATTGTATTGAAAACATTCCCTTATGCCTACTACACAGCAGTCAGAATGCCAAGGGATGAAGATCTGAAAGGCATGTATCACTGTAAGAACACACACACTGCAAAGTCCTACCACTAGCTACCTCAATATAGGGAGCTCATTGCATTTTGTTGCCTTCTCAGAGACTGCCCCCGAGTATCCAGTTCATTCACACAATATATCAGATATGTTTTAAATCTGGGTAGACAAGACTAGTAAACAAATCATGAACATTCTAGCAAGAGATGGATATTAAAGAAGCATTAAAAATATGACATAGTATGAAAAAAAAATAAAGCAGGGTAAAAAAATGGGGGTGGAGTTAGAGGGAGGGAGAAGGGACCTGATATTTTAAATGAGGCCAGAGAGGGTCTCTTTGATGCAGCAATATTTGAATAAAAACGGGAAAGGCTACGGCTTGACCCCAAAAGATATACCAAGGCATGCATTTTAGTCAAAAAGAGAGGTGTTAAATACTGCAGGGCAAGTAACTCTGCATTTCAGTTCCTTGCTTGTTTCCTTCATACCACATCACAGTCCCTGTACAAGTCGTATTTACGTTTACTTTTCCATTATCACGCCTCCCTCCTCGACTTCAGCTTCAAGTGGGGTCAGGGGTCACATACGTCAAAGTGGTGTTTAGCACAGTATCTGTATTTGCTGAATGAATACATAATTGCTACAGTGACTTTTACAGAGAAACAATGACAAGCCCTCAACTTTACTCCTCAACCGTGCGTCTTAGCTACCAGGATATCAGCTGCTCTAGAACGAAGACTGGGAAAATGATCCCCATCCTACAGAAAACGGTGAGATTTGGACAGAAGTGACAAGAGTGGCTGGTGTTCAAGAGGCCTTCCAACAAGGAAATCTCTAGATGCAAAATTTGCAGGAGGTGCAGCTATTTGCAGGGGTGGACACGGCAGCCAGGCCGCGGGGACTGAGAATGAGTACAATAGGCTAGTTTGACGTGAGCTTGGGGGAAGTGGCCTTGGCACGTGAAACCTAAGATGCCCAGAACTGGGAGTAGGGAAGGCGCTTTGAGGCGAGCTCCTTAGAAAGAACTCACCTGGTCCACGTCGTCCGCCATGTTTCAAACCCTGCGCCTTTTCCCTCCTCTCGCGACAACTGTAACACGGGTCAACGCACTGGAAGTTGTTTCTGGTTGTTTCCGGCGGGTCACGCCGCCGCGGGCCGGCCCGAGCAGGAGAGGCACGGCTAGGTCCGCTCCGCCCAGGGGCGGAGCCTGCGCCCTGCACCTCTGGTCATCTCGGCGTGTTGCTTGCGGATCGAATCTGACCGGCGGCAATGGGTCGGAAACGTGCGGCCGGCGGGGCGCGAGGGCGACGCGAACAGCACGCACGGAAAGCCAAAGACCAGCAGCCGGAGCGGCTTGAGAAGGAGGATGCGGGTGAGAAGGAGGCCTGGGCAGACTGAGGGGTGCGATGCTGCGGGAGGGCGGGGACCAGTCTGCTTGCATAAGACGGGCTTTCCGGGCCTCTAGGGAGGAGGCGCAGCCAGCGGGGCTGTTAGGTGTCCGCTCCGCTCTCCCGGTCTTTTGTCTTCCACGCGGGAGTGCGTTGCGCCCCGCGCCATTCCCGCTAGCCCCACCTGAACACGAGCTCAGCCTCCTCCTTCCTGTTTACCCACTGGGTAAAGTCTAGTCTCCCCGCAGGTGTTCTAGGCTGAGTGGAGAAATGTTGCAGTTATTTTTGCATGTCTCTCGAAGACAGACCGGGACATGCATTGCTTCTTGTGTGCTAACTGCTTGTATATCTTTACTTAAATCTCATCTCTGACTTCCAGACTGAGTTCTGAAATGACTTTGATGGACCTCCTGGATGAGAAGAAACTTTAACTTAACCATGTTGTTATTTTGTGTTGTCAATTTCGATGGAACTTACTCATAAACTGACTCTTCAACAGGTTTTCCTTCTCTTTTGGAGCACCTGGTGGATTCGAACTTCGTTATTTCCCGGGATTGCAGTGCAGCTTCTTACCAACACAAGGGGATTGAATTTCCCTTTTAAACTTTTGCTTCCCCAGTTTTTCTCATTTTAGCAAACGATCCCTTTTCCCACTTTTAAGGCATAACCCTTCTTTCCTGCGTTTTTTATTAATATACACATAGCCAGTTTATCAAGTCTTGTTGGTTCAGCTGTGAAATACATCTTAAATCTGACCACTTCCTTTCCGTGGCTTCAGCCCTCCGTGACTATACCATCACATTCTGATCGCTGCTTGCAGTTGACTCTTTCCTTGTCTTCCTTGCTTTATTCCTTTGCAGTAAGTTCTCCAACCTGCAGAATCAAATCATGCTCTGCTTCAAATTCCATGCCTTCTCATTTCTCTTTAACCTAAAATTCAAATACCTTGTTTAAAAAAAAAAAATCCAAAATCTTTGCTATGCACAATCTTACATAATTTTGGTTTCTACTGACACTTCCATTTTCTCTGACCATTGCTTTACTTGCCAAATATACTTCTCATTGGTCTCCTTTCTGTTTTCTAACTTGCCAGATAATTTCTGACTTTTTTTGGTGGTGTTCTGCCTGCAATGCCGTCCTGTGGCTCAGGGCCGGTCTTTCAGGTCTCAGTTTAGAGAGAGCTTGCTGCCTACAGTGGTCTGATCCTGTGTAATGATTTTGGCTGCCATCAAGTTAACTGACTCACAGCAACCCCATGCACAACATAACAAAATACAACCAGATCGTGAGCCATCCTCTCAAACTCTGTCAGTCATCAGTGGATCTCATCGAAAGCCTCCTTTTTAATTGGCCCTCTTCTTTACCAAGCACGACATAGTTCTCTAGCTAACAGACCCTCCATGACCAAAGGATGTGAGAACGAAGTCTTACCATCTTCCCTGCTAGCCTTCTTCAAAGACAAGTGTATTTTTAAGAGGCCACGGCATATTCAGTATTCTTTACCAAAACCACAAATTAAAGTCACCATTTCTTTTTTGGTCTACCTTACACAGTTTCTGCTTTTCCCATACATATGAGGCACTTGAAAATACCATGACGCCACCTTATCTTAGCCTTTGCTCTTTAGCACTTTAAAGAAGTCGTTGGCAGCAGAAACTCATTTGATCTTAACTGCTGTTTCCAAGAGCATTGATTGTAGATCCAAATAAAAGGAAAACTTCTTAAGTAGCAGCATCCTGGTTATTGCCCTTATAACCTGTGTTATAATCTAGAATGTTCTTCTTAATTTATTTGCTTCTTTTCCTTTGTCTAGCTCAATAGAATTTAAGCTCTGTAAAAGTGCAAAAAGGAGTCTCCTTGGCTGCTTTATGTTTTACCCTCTTCTACCCTTATCCCCACACAAAGAAAGTGCTCATTATACTGTAAATAATTGCCAAGTCAACTGCTAGGAGAACAAACAAGTTTGTCCTGGAGAAGGTGAAGCCAGAATGCTCCTTGGAGTCAAGGATTCTGAAGCTTCATCTGACATACTTTGGGCATGTTGCAAGGAGGGACTGGTCCTTGAAGAGGGACATCATGTTTGGTAGAGTAGAGGGGCAGCAAAGGAGAGGAAGACCTTCCATGAGATGGATCGATTCTTTGACTGGAGTGGTGGGAATGAATGCGTTTGAGATGGTTAGGTTGGTACAGGATAGAACGGCGTTTAGGGCTCTTGTACATAGGGTTGCTATGAGTCACAAATGACTCGATGGTACACAACAACAACAACACACTGTAACGGTTCCAGGAGTCGCACATTTAGCTAGGAACAGCAAGAGTTCCTGTAACACTTAGCGTTGGTGATTCTGTATATAAGATTCTGTATGTAGTAGGAAGTAGTCATGGCAGTAATCCATAAATTGGGTGATTTACCTTACAATTAGTTGTATGAGTTTTATGCATTCTATCATGTGCATTCACTCATCTGTCCCATCAAATGACATTAAGTAGCTGCTGTGTGCTATATACTTAGGTAGGTCATGTGGGAGGCAGTAGTAGGGGAGCTTGAGGTATAGTAATGTTAGTGTGACATTTGCACACAAAATATCCATATTCATTACCATGGAAGAAGACGTAAGAGGCTGTGTAGCCTTTTGTAGCTTCACCAAATGAGGTCATTTGCCAGGGGAGATTGGGAAATTCTCTCTGTAGAAGTTATGTTTGATCTGTGACTTTAAGGTAATGTTTCAGAAAGTGGCCATTAAAGGCACCAGGGGGAATGTATTTTGAACATATTAGTTAGTGTTTAAAAACTAAAGGCTTTGCTTGGATGGAATTCCTGTGTGGTGTTCCTCACAGCTTAATACTTCCCCTATAGCTCTAACATTTAGTAATTATGGACGTTGGAGTAAATTCTTTTGAACAAATAACATAAGCTTTCTGAACCTTATCTCAGAAGCTTAGTATTATCTTATGGGGTGATGATGAATGTTCATCGAGATAGCATAGACAGCTTTTGGTACATATCTAGTTCCAAGCTAAGTAGTCATTTGAGTTACTTAATATCACTCTGTTTACACATAAGTGTCTCAGGCAGCTTCTCAAGAGAAACAAGATCAGTGACATATATAAATATTTATACGTCTGTATAAATAGTTATATATTTGAAGGAAATGACTCATAATTGTGAGGAAATAGCTTATGCAACTCTAGAAGCTCACCAATGCCATATCCATGGACGGGGTGACACCGAAGACCTGCTGGCTCACATAACTGCAGTGGCTGATGGACCCAAAATCTGCAGGCCAGACAGTGGCCCAGAGACAGGCAGAAGCAGGGTTAAGTCCCCAAAACTGGTGATCAGGCAACAAGAGTGCAAAGTCGAGAAAGAGAGTGAGCTTTGCCAGAACATTCCATTTATTTACTGGAAGCAAACCAGACTCGCTTATGTCTATCCTAACTCATAGCGACCTTCCATCAAGTTTCTGAGGCTGTAAATCTTAACAGGTGGCAAGTGTGTGTCTTTCTCCCTTTTAGTCACTGGTGGACCCAAACTTTCAGACTTGGTGTGGCCTTTTGGTTATAGAAACATGCTTGTGGATTCCTACACCGCGGTGACCAGAGGATCACACTGGTGATTCCTACCCTTGTGAAAGAACTGTGTGCTCAGCTTAAGCGAAAGTGGCCAATTAGATCTGAATTGATTCAAGAAATCAGAAAACTAGAAAAGAGCCTCTGAAGTCTCTGCCACCAAAAAAACCCCAAACACAACAACGAAACACCAACCCAAACAAACAAAAATACCGCATACAGCAAAGAGTAAAATGAACAAAAGCCAACCGTGTTTCTACCTTGAAGAAATAGCCACAAGTAAATATTGGTAAGTGGTGCAGTCAGTAAGCAGTTGTGCTGTTAACCAAAGGCCAGCCCTCTGGTTTGAATCCACCAATGGCCTCAGGATAGAAAGGAGCTCCTGTGCAACTCACAGACTGGGAAACCAAGTGGAGAGTTAGCTGTGTGCTGATTCTAACTTCAAAGCAATGAACTGACTTGAAATACTGTTACATTTCCTTTCAGTATCTGTTTTGTTTTTTTATTGTTGAAGCAACCCTGCATCCTTAATATTCTGTATCATCTTCCTTTGTCTTAAAAATGAATGGATTCTATTTCATTGTGTGATTATACTATAATATTTAGGGGTTACACAGCTAATAAAAATGGGTTTATAAACAATGACACCATGAATAACTTTTTTGTTCAGGCCCCCTCCTCTCCTAGGGTCACTGTGGGTCACAGGTGACTCAATGGCACAGAACAATAACCACCTCCTCCCCCTTTTAACTCATCTTCTTCTCTCAGTCCCTGGAGAAGGACATTCATGTGTGGAAAGTAAGAGGTCGGCAGAAGAGAAGACCAGCCACTGGATAGACACAGTGACTGCAACACAAGCACAGCCGAGTTTGTACAGCGATTGCTGGATTAGGTGGAGTGTCACACATGGTGGTGGAAGGCTTTCAGTCATTGTGAGTTGAAGCCACTTGGTAACAACCACCACCTGGGGACCAAGAAAAACAGATACTGGGTAAACAGCTTAGTGGATGGATGGATAGGGTGAAGAAAAAGACACAGTACAATGAGGATTTGGTGAGCTGTTGCGATAAATGGCATTGAGCCGTTGTAATTAATATTATAAAACAAAATGTATATGAATGAGTGAGCGCCATTTTTTAAAAAATATATAACATACATATACATAACCTTTTCATCAACCAGACAGAATAGTAGAAAACAAATGGTACCTCTGAAGTGTCCTTCCTTTCTGTGAATGTGTAGCATCTTTGGTTGGTAATAGAAAGCCTTAAGGCCATTGTAAGACCTAGAAATTCTCATTTGAGGGTACTCAGATAGATGGTCAGGCCATAAACTCTTAAGTACCATCTGAATGGTTTCCAAATAAGAAATCATTTCACACATCCTAAGAAATGCATTTTGAAACTGTGTTTTGTAATTTCACTGTTAATTTTCACTGTAATATCTACTCCTTGCTTATTGACATGGTTAGGTTCCAACACCAGGCCATTATGTGAACAGGAGGGGATGACTACATCATTATATAAGTAGTAAACTAAATTATACAACCACTGGACCCAGCCAGGCTGACACATAATCATAATCCCCACAGCCAGTATTCTTACCTTGCTCTTCAGCATTCTTTTCTGCCAAACTTGGGTTGCTTATATGCAAAATAGTATATTGTCATAAAAGGCAAAATACTGGGTAAAATAGGCAATAGATGAGGAATAGGTGATTGTCCTTTGTTATCCAGTCATTTTTATCTAGAATTAGAGTCCTTGTAATGTGAACTCTATTTAAATTAAATGATAATTTAATTTTGAACAAAAGGCCATCTTTACTGAACCTCCCATCTCCCTTGCACAAGTACATCTGAGTTTTAAATTTCCTGCTTTAGAACAGTTAGCAGGCAGCTCTGGTGACATCGTCTAGAGGAAGTTTTGCTACTAACCCAAAGGCAGCTCTGTGCAGTTTACAGTACAGAAACCCTGTGGAGGATCCGCTGTCCATCGACAGTGAGTGACTGTAGAATCAGCACGACAGCGTGTAAATGAAAGACAGTCATAACTTTGATAATTTTTTAAATTTTGTATATTGATTTGCATACAAAGTTCATATGCATTGTGTTTCACACTAGCCTTCATTCACATTGTGGTTCATACAGTCATTCCCATTCATTATGTTTTCTAAAATTAATCACCAATTGTAGGGTCACACAGTTTGTGGGAGGAGGGGGAGCTGTAAAGGAAATGGGAAAGATCCAGTGGGAATCTGGAAAGACAAGATAATTAGCTTAATACAAAGGCATTACCTCTCTGGAGGAATGAACCCACAGCAGTTCTAAGGGGGAGGGAGAGGCACACTCTTCTTGTGCAGTTTAAAGTCTCTGAAAACCCACTGGAGGGTCAGCTGTGAGATGGTTGTGACTGCATGGCAGTGAGTTGTTGAGAATGTCAGTAAAAGCCAAACTATTTTTGTTTTCTAAAATTAACTGAGGCAGGGTCATCCAAAGACAAAGGAGGGATGATTTCTATCAGCTTGATGACTTTGGAGGGAGTATACCTTGAGTATATTGCAGGAGGGGCCAGTCCCTAGAAAAGATTTCAGGCTTTGAACAGGGGAGGAAGATCCTTAATGAGAAGGACTGACACAGGGACTTCTCTAATGGCCTTGAGCACAGTGGAGATGGTGAGGACAGTGCAGGATCAGGCAAGGTGTAGAGCAGTTGTGTGTAGGGCCACTGTGAGGCAGGTGGACATCATGCCCTCTAACAATAGCAGCGTGTTTGCAAAGTGGAAAAATACCTCCCTTTCCCTGTTACTTATAAATTATTTGTTAAAATTAACTTCCTACTCTAGTTCTCTGTGAATATGCAAGATATTTGTAAATAGCCTAATTTGACTTAAAAATTTGTTCACTTTTTAAAAAAATTATTTTGTTCTTGAGAGAATACATAGCAAATTACACATCAAAACATGCATCTGTTTCTTATGTGGACAGTTCAGTGACTGGTGGCATTATCCAAGCTGTGCAACCATCCTCCTGCCGTCCCTTGACTTTCTTCCATTCACATGAACCCACTGCCCCTGAGTTTCTTACATAATCTTCACAATTTATTTTGTTAATTTGATCACAAATAGATAAATCTTGGAAAAGCACAGTGATTGTGTTGGTGAAGTTTGTGTGTCTACTTGGCTACCTAGGAAATTCTGATTTGACGATTGGGATCTGATCAGTCCCTTGATGAGGTTGATGTGAATAATCGGTGCATGAGGGGACGAACCGCATCACAACTGCCAAACTAGAGAATCCTAGGCAGCTAGAGGGGCACACCTTAAGCCATCATACTGCTCAAGGCCGATAGTCTTTCTAGTTAAGCAAGTTGTTTGCTTTTAAGAAGACTTAGGTTTAAAGTTTAGAGATTACCTCTGGGCAGTAATTTTAGTTCACATTTTTATAGTTTAGCAAACTCAAAATTTAGACTCACTGCCTTTTAACAAAACATAACTAGAATTATTTTATGAAATGATATTTTTTAATTTCCTAATTTATTGAAATAGTTGATTAAGAGTGGCATATGGGTAATAGCTAATTGTGTTTTCATCAGACTTTGCTTTTGAAGGATGTCAGAAAAATTGATTAGTAGAAATAAGGTGGTGAAACTCGGACATGGCTATGAATGCAGTATTTCATTCAGCAAGAGTGAATTATCCCTGAGGCAGAGTATTAGTCTTGGCTGCTAATAGAAAGGCGTTAATGGGTTCATGGATCTTTCCTTGCTAGAGAATAACTGGAATTTAGGTTTGGGACTTAGATTTTACTTGAGTCATCTGTGACTCAGATTAGTAGACTAACGTGCTGGCTAAAATACATGACTTTAATTATGAATATAGACTACACCAAAGGTGGGAAGAGACTGCGAACTGGTTGTTGGTGTTAGGTGGTGGGAGAAAGGATTTGGAGAGATGTTACAGAAGACAACTTTTCATAACACTGCTTGCTAAACCACACAGCCTCCACCTTTCTTCATATTCTTCACCTCATGTTTTCTTGGTCACCCAGATGTTTTTGAGGATGAGAAACCCCCAAAGAAGGCGCTTCCCAAAGCTTCCCAAAGAAAGAAGAGAGGCCGAAGTGATCCTGGAGAACCCGCTGATGATGGACCAGCAAAGAAAAAAGTGGCCAAGTCAACTTTTAAATCCAAACACCTCAAAGTTATAAAGAATGAAGCCCTCAGTGATGGGGAGGATTTCAGGTGAGCTGAATGTAAAGCTTTGGCTAGATCTTGATTGTCCTGATCAGAGAGAGATGTGGAAGTAGTAAAACTTGACCTCTGTATTTCTTGTTGAGGCCTATGGGGAAAAAATAGGAACTTTAAATCTAGATAGTGCAGGCTAATAAGAGTTTGAACAAATCTTTGTGATTCTATAGTTTACTTCCTAAGTTTTTTCAGATGTCCAGAAGATAGTGAAAGCTGAGAGAAGGTATTCACTCATGATTACAGTTATGTGGGGGCAAAACCAGGTTAGAATCCAGGTCTTCTGGCTTATGGTCCAATGTGTTTTACCACACAAAAGCATTTTTTTCACTTATTGTCCAGTAGGAATCAACTCCTAGCCCAACCTGCAGTAGGTTTTCAGAGGCTATAAATCACACGTGAGGAGATTGTCTTTCTTTTTCCCATGGAACAGCTGATGAATTCACACCTGTTTGAGTTGGCAATACAACTCCTTACCCAGCAGGCCACCAGAGCTCCCTTACAAAAATACAAGGTACCCGCCATCCCAGCTTTATCTCGGATACTCTCCTTTGTCTTAACACTTTGTTCTTGTCCAACTGAACTTCTCGCTTACTCATTACATTCTCATACTTTGCTACTTGTAAGTTGTATTAGAACTATTCATTCTACTTGGAATGTTTTCCTCTACTTTGAAGATGCAAATCAGAAGCCAGCTGCTCTAAAAAGTCTTCACTATCTCTTCTCCCTTTCCTCTTCCGATTTCCTACAGAATTTCTTAAGGGGAAGTATGCTGTGCCTGCCTTATATTACCCTTATTGTGAACATAACAAATATCCCTGCATGCTGTACATGCTATCCCTCAGAGAGGGGGGTTCATTTTTGTATACTCTGTAGCATCCAGAACAGGGCCTTTTTGCTGAAACTGGCTAGTCAGTATTCCAGTAAATAAACATACTTATCTGTGAACATAAATAAGTCCAGTAAGCACATGATTTCCTGTCTCTTCCTTGCCCAAAAACAAGCGCTCACAACCTAACATAAGCCCAGCATCTTCACCAGTACTGACGCAGGATCGTTGTCCAGCAGAGGGCAGCAGTGGAGAGGAGCATGGCTGAGCATGATTATCGGCTGGACTTTTGTGGTGCAGTGGGTTTCTCATGTACGTGCCCTTTCTGGCCTGAGGTTTATTATTCTGCCAAAGATAATTGTTTAGGCCACAGTTTGCTCCTGTTAGTCTCTCTTATGTACCTAAAAGGGTTTGGACAGTTGACTATACAAATACAAACAAAGCTCACAGCCAGTGAGTCTGTTCTGACAGTGACCTTGTAGGACAGAGTAGAATGGTCTCATTGCATTTCCAGGACTGAAAATCTTTACAGGAACTATTAGTATTAGTTATTATTACTATATAGTATTATATTACTATATAAGAATTATATATTATATAATATTATATATTATTATTCGTATATGTACGTATTAGCTACAAGTTAATCTAGAGCCAGTATTGAGCTCATTATTTACCTCTGTAGCCATGCCCAGCTGGCCATCCACGTTTCTTTTTCTGTGATATACCTGTGCTTAGGGCACTCCAGTGGCATAGTAGTAAGGAGCTACACTGCCAAACCAGAAAAATCCGAGTGGGCACATAGTAGGTGTGGCAAGTATGAGTTCTGTCCTTCCTGACATCCAGATCCACAGTGTATGCATGTATCATCACTCCTGCAAATCACATTATTAATCATGTTTCTTCTAGCGTTTTTTGGTGGTGTTTTTTTTTTCCTTTTCTCAGCACAGCAGTTTTCTTGGACTCAGCATTAGGTTGCTGTAGTTTGTGTTTTCACAGCACATCTAGTCTCTGACTGATGCTCAGGGCACATCTTACTGAGCGTTTGAGACCTCTTCTCTGAGAAATGAGGCTCAAAGACTCACCAGCCATCTTAAAATCATTGCAGCACAGAAGGAAGAGTTGTTGTCAATTTTATTTAGTTTACCTGTAAACCCTAGACTAACACAACCTCTTTTCTCCATTTTTTTGTGTGTGATCTTTCCTCAGGAATTTCCCAGGTGCCCTCAAAAAGGCACAGCATCTGAAGAGAGAGGCTACTGTTGACAAAGAGAGCAGTGAGGGAGAAGGAGATGAGAGTGAAGATGATTGGGAAGAGGTGGAAGGTAAGATATCTCTCTTTGCTTTCAAAACAGATTGTGCATTTTTCTCTTTGATTATATTGGAGTATAATTGGTTATTGCAATCTTTTTTTTTTGTCTTTACAGAAAGACTAAAGATAAGAATGCTTTAGGGACTTACTAATTAATGACTAAGTTAGCATAGAAAGACAGCCTTCTGGTGACTGTTAGTAGAGTAGACATGCTTGTTGTTGTTGCTGTTGTTATGTGCTGTCAAGTCTCTTGCGACTCATAGCCCTGAACCCTGCTCTATCTTGAGCCAATCTCATTGTCTCTGGCACACTCACCTCCACTACCCCAGTCACAGAGTCAGTCCATCTCATCGAGGATCTTCCTCTCTTGCACTGTCCCTCCACACTCCCAAGCATGGTGTGTCTCTCCAAGGACTGATTCCTCCTTGCAACATGCCCAAAGTAGAGAGGTGCATATTTAGTAGAGCAGAATTTTGAAGTAAGCTAAAGTTTTTCTCACTAATAACACTCAGAACACACCAAAGGCCACTCTATCCCAATGCTGTATTATGAAAGAATCCACTTGGTCTCTAGTCCAAAGTACAGCCCTTGTATTTGATTGTTAATTTTTAATTAATTTAAAACAGTGCTTCTTTATTCACCCGTTTACAGTTTCCCCCCTTTTCATAATGCTGCCTTTTTTAAGAGTCCTGGTGTTTGGTTTTCTAGAATGCCTCACTTTCTGCTATTATCTGATTAATTTTTTCATGTTAATTGTTAAAGATGTTTCAGTATCCACTGTCTCTGTTATAAACTGTAAGTCCGAAGACTTGATTGGGTTTATTATTAAACATTTTGGGGGGTACTGCAATCCCAGAGGTATACAGTTCGAATCTACCAGATGCTCTGCTGGAGAAGGAGGGGCAGTCTCCTCCTGTACCAGTCAGATCTCATTTGACGGTACACACACAAAAAAAATGATAAAATAAAAATAAATTTTAAAAAATAAAACATTCTGGGGCCAAAAATATTTAACAGTGGCGCTTTGTATTTCCTATTGCATCTGTTAAGAGACACCTACTGTTAGGTAAGGGGCCCTTGGTGATGTAGTGCATTCCTTATTGGTCTGCTACCCAAAGTTCATTGGTTGGAATCGACCAGCCTCACTGAGGGACAAAGATGGGCCTGCTGTAAATGTTTACAGCCTCTGAAGTCCAGTAGAGGATGCTCTCTGTGAGATAGTGTTGAGAGGAGCCCTTGTGGTGCTTAAAGTGCTAAGTTGCTAACCAAAAGGTCATTGGTTCAGACATACCAGTTGTTCTACCGGGGAACCATGAAGCTGTCAGCTTCCATGAAGATTTGCAGCCTTGCAGACCCTATGGGGCAGTCTGCTCTGTCCTGCATGGTTGCTGTGTTGATGGGACAGCAGTGAGTTAGGTGTTAGTTTTGGATGTCAGGTTGCCCCTCCATTAGTGATGCTCAGTTTAATTACTCGATTAAGGTGGTGCCTCCAGATTGCACCATACTTGTAAAGGTATATTTTTCCCTTTTAAATAATTGGAGTGTTGCATTGTATAAATATCTTGATCCCTGGTAACTTCTTTACTTACTAATATTAACATACCTTGATGTCCTAGATGAAAAAGGATTATAATATTTGAGAATTGCAGCATAATTGTTTTGTTCTATAGTTTCATATACATTTGTTAGCTGGCTTTTATTTGTAAAGAACTTTTAAAAATTTTGTTTAACTATTTATCCTTAATATACTTCTGTACAGAAGGACTTCCCCTTTTAAAAATTGTACTTAACCCTTTATTTTTAATATGCCTGTAGGCTTAGTTCTGGTGGCCTAGTGGGTAGGGAGTTGTGCTGCTAACCCAAAGGTCGTGTCTCTCAGGTAGTTCAAATCCACGAGCAGTTCTAAAGGAGAAAGATGAACAGTCTCTTCTATGTGACATAGAAGCCTCTGAAAATCCACTGGAGGGTCAGCTATGAGTAAGTTCCAACTCAGCAGCAATGAGTTTTATAGACTTAGAGGATTTTATATTTCTTCCCTAAATTCAGATTATGTTGTAATTAGTTCTCACTCTGCTTTTTGAGCTTTAGGATATATTGAGCTCGCAGGAGCCCCGTTAGACTACTTAACTATGTCCTTTGACATGCCCTATTTCCTGGGATAGCAAGATGTTCAATACTCACTTTACACCTTTTTTTTTCTTTTTTTATCTAGGCCTGAAATAATCAGCCATTTTTCTCCAGGACATTCTGATTCATTTTAGTAGAGAACACTATCCAGACACTAAGATTTTGGCGTTAAGTGTGTTTATTGCCAATGTGGCATCATTGCTTCTTCGCCCAGAGTCTCTTTTAAAAGTATGTTTGCCAGTGAAGTTCATAATTAGATCAAGTTTGACAAACTAATTCTGGTTTCAGCTAGTGTGTATGAGAAGTATGAGTGATAAAGAAACACTCCTTGTCATTTATAATAAGAGGAGGAAACAGACTTCTAAATCATGAGTTTATTCAAAACAAATTGTGATAATGTTTTAATAATGCAGAGAATAAGGAGATTTGGAGATTGCTCCCACTTGGCTTTATTTTTAGGAAGGAAAGTAGCTGATGTTAACTTGGGTCTGTATCTGAACAAGAAGGACGGAACAGTCTAATCTGGTTAAGATTTGTGGCCTAGGAAACCATATGAAGGGTTCCCATGAGTCGGGATCAATTTGGCCGCAGTGGGTTTTTAGACTAATAGTTGATTGAATTCAGTATCTCTATGCCTAACATTTCTCATTTAAAGATTACTTCTAGTATTTCGTGGGTTAAAGGAGATAAATTTATGTAAACTACTTAGCTCAGTACTTGACACTTTGTAGGATCTTGAAACACCATAGGAGTAGTTATTGCCTCTGGACCTGGCATCCATTTCTCACTTCCCAGCAGAACCTTCGTTTGTTTGTTCAATATGATAGCTGCTACTGTGATTGTTGTTGTTATGTACCGACGAGTCAGAACTGACTCACAGCTGACCCTCCAGTGGATTTTCAGAAGCTTCAAATGGCATAGGAGGAGATTGCACATCTTTTTCCCACAGAGCAGCCTTTGGATTCAACCCATGTGCCTTCGACTTGACAGCACAGCTCTTTGCCACTAAGCCACCAGAGCTCCCTATTATTATGATTATTGATTTTTAAAAATTATTATTGATAGAGCTTAGTGAACCTGTGCCAGGTGACATGGGAGAAAATGCAATCTTCTCTAAATCTGTTCTGCCTGTGAATCCTGTGGAGATAGAGATTGAAACCCCGGAGCAGGCTAAAACCAGAGAAAGAAGGTAAGATTAGGTACTTGCTTCCATGTACCTGTCATACATAGTGGACAGCCACTGCTACTTATTGAGAAGCTCATAGGAAGCCAGGGAGGAACAGCAGAACAGTCAGGAAACATGGCTGAGAGAGCCCTGGACTTACCTTTAGATTTGAGTAAGAAACTTTGTGTCCTAGCTGGGGCAGGAGGTAGAGAGAGGGAACTCTAGTATGTTGAAGGTCTGTTCTATGCCTTGGATTCTGCAAGGTGTTTGTTATCTTACTTTTTAGATCAGTATTGTAATGAATAAACCAGAAGCTCAGAGAGGTTAAGAAACTTCCCAGGAGTCACTCAACAATAAGTGGAGGCGTTGAACTCTCAGTCCATGTCAGTCTGATGGAACACTCAAGATTTTTCTACCCTTCACACTGCAGGAGTTGAGGCAGTGCCCCACCGTGATAGAGAACCCTCCTTCCTTCTTAGGCACCCCATTGCCTCAACAGCTTCTGGAAGCTTGGGACGGTGGAACCCAGCTCTTGGTCTTAGGTTCCCCAGTGTGATTAGCTTATTGTTAGGCACAGAGTCAGGAGATAATAAAATTCACTGAGTAGGTTTTCTTGAAGATGCATTGGACACCAACATGAAAGAATTTTATGCAAAAAAAAAAAATTTATACCAGAAGAACACCATATACAAATGAATTTAACATAAAAGTAGTAAGTGCTTAAGAGAAAAGTAGTACTCAGTAGGCTAGAGAAGACATCTTAGAGGAAGGGAGTTCTGAGGCAGAGAATGTGGTAAAGCTAGAGTTTGGCAGTCGTATGCAGCAAGTTATGTGCAGAAAATGCCAAGCTTGCAGATTTGCTAGAGTAGCCGAGCCTTCTGCTGTAAAGCAGAGAGAGTGAGTCGTGTCATGAATAAAAGGAGTTGGCTGGTGGAATGGGTCTGTTTTCAGGTCCCTGCTTTGATTTTTTTCTCACAGTGAAAAGATAAGAATGGAGTTTGAGACATATCTTCAGAGGATGATCAAACGCTTCAGTAAAGAAGTTCATGAGGATACGCACAAGGTAAGGGTAGAAAATCAAGAGAGAGGGCCCATTTCTCCTCTTTGACAAAGTAGGATATTAATAGTGTAGAGTCCTGCAGGAAGAAAGATGGTAGTCTCCTCCCATGCGATTAACTGCCTCTGAAAACCCACAGGAAGGTCAACTATGGGTCAGTTCTAACTCTATAGTAAACAATTTACTTCCAGAGCTCTAGTGGCATAGAGGGTGGAGACTACTGCTCACCTGGAGGTGGTGCCCTCTCTGGCCGTTTGAATCCACCAGCTGCTCCTCAGGAGAAAGATGAGACACTCACCTCCTGTGTCTACAGCCTACAAAAACCCACTGGAAGGTCAGCTCTGAGTCAGTGCCAACTTGACAGCAAGAAAATTTTGGCATTTTTTTACTTATGAGAATTTAAGTGCATCTCTTATTCCCTCTGAGCCTTGGTTTTCTCATCCATAAAATAGAGTGATAATAGTGCCTCCCTTATATGGTTGCTGTGAAGATTAAGCAAAATATTGTATGCAAAGCACACAGCGTGAATTGATGATTCTAATTTAAGGACCCTGTGAACAGATCAGAATTCTGCCTGATCCTGCGTCATCTGCCCTGCTCAGGTCTGTTGTTGCAGCACCTGTGTTTGTCTACTTCACTGAGGGTCTCTTCCTTCACTGACACTACTTTTCTCAGCCTGAGGTCTTTTTCCAAGGACTGTTCCTTCCTGACAACATCCCCAGTCTGTGAAGAAGCTTCACCATCCTTGCATCTAAGGAGCACCCTGGCTGCCACTTTTTCCAAGGGTGATTCATTCTTTTAGTAGGCCACAATGTATTAACATGCAGGCACTGAACAGTGTGTGTGTGGTTCTGCAATCTCCTCCTGTTACTTTTTAGAGCATCAGTATTACTCTCACCTGAAGTCCCAGTGACTTCTGACTTTAAGTGTTAATCACTGAACATTAGCAAAATACTGGGTGTTGGAGGATGGAGGCTTGTATGAAGCTTATTCCTTCCCCTTCAGGACTTTAATCATTTCACAGTTGGAACAAGAAAGATCTCAAAGCAGTACTGTGTGACTGTAGATCCAGAATAATAAGATGAGTGTGCATCTGAGTAGCTGAGGAAAGTTCTGTTTAAAATAAGGACTAGGTCTGGGACCTGGAGAAATGAGAGCTTAGAGATACTGAGGACTGGAGTCTGGAAAACTGCTCTAGGATTACTGGCCTGAGGGAAGTGGTGGAGCCCCCAAAACTGTAGCCCTTAGTCATCCCTCAGCTCTGGATCTGAACTTGCACTGGTGGCTTTATGCTCAGTCCCACATCAGACAGGCCTGTAACATGGACAATGCAGTAGGGAGGTGCACACACCTTGGAAAACCAACCATATGACAGTCAGGGTACAGCATCTGCCCGGGAATAAAGCACAGACGGCAAGAAGGATAGAGGAAAGGACATTTGAATGAGGGAAGTGCAGAAAGGAAGACTACCCTTAGAGTGTGGGGAGTGTCATAAAACCTATGTGAATTGAATGGAAGATCCTTTTACTCTGTAGGCGTTCACCAAAAATCACAATAAAAATAAAAGTTTTTTTAAAAGATGAAAACGACAGTCACATAATTTCAGTAGGTTATTGAAGGGTGGGGCCAGAGGTCAGAGAATGGACAGAGATGTAGGGTCAGCAGAGAGGAGGTTGAATTCCAGCACAGCACACAAGTCGAGCAGCCCGAGAGCATCTTGTTCCTGTCCCCAGCTGTGACCATCGTTGGCTCCCACACAGGCTCGCTCCCCTGTACCACCACTCACCCTTCCCATCTTTTCTCAGCAGATAGATACCAGACACTACAGCATGTCATCTGTAAATCCTTACATTTAAGTCCTTTTTAGCATGTATCTCCAGGACCCTTTAAAAAAAGAAAAGAAGCTACAGCATCATTGAAGTTCATAGACTTTATTTTTTTTAAAGGAATGAAAGACAAGATTAAAAATCTTAGGAAATAAATATTAAAAGTGTTTTTACTTTCTTGTATGTAAGAAAGACTGCATTCCTACCCATAGATTGTCTTTTACTTTGGCAGCAGAAATCTCAGCCAGTTTGAGCCTACCTTACATATTTTTTCACCTTTCCTCCCTCTTCCCAGGTTCACCTTCTTTGCTTACTAGCAAATGGCTTCTACCGAAATCGCATCTGCAGCCAGCCAGATCTGCGTGCTATTGGCCTCTCCATCATCCCAAGTCACTTTACCAAAGTGCCACTTAAAAACATGAATGTTCGCTTCCTCTCAAACCTGGTGAAATGGTAGGATCATCGCCTGGCTGCAGAGCCCTGGTGTGCGATCCCTGTTGTTCTCATGGAGTTGGGGGTTGGGGATGGTATTCAAGTCAGTTCCACACATTCCCTGAGGGGAGACCAGGTACTGAGCAGTGTGCATGGCATCAAAGAGAGGAACATCAGACGTGAGCCCTGTCCTGGCAAAGCTCCCACATGTACACTGGATATATACCGAGTAGTGAGATAGGTGCTCTAAGGGCTGTGTTTGGGGATTACAGCTCCTGCAGCAGGCTTCTCACCAAGGAGGTAAGTTCTGAGCCCGTCCTTAGTGATGAGTAGGAATTATCCACACAGCTTAGGAAGAATAGGACATAGGCAGTGAGTCTCACAGTTCACTCCCCTTTTATTGTACTTGGCTATAAAAAAGCAGATACTCCCTGCTGTGTAGACTTCTGACATAGGGAATGCCCTGTTTCTATCCAGGTTCATCGGAACATTTACAGTTAATGCAGAGCTTTCAACCAATGAGCAAGATAGTCTGCAGACTACACTGGAAAAGAGATTTGCTATTTACTCTGCACGAGATGATGAAGAATTGGTCCATGTAAGTGATGCCTGCTGCCAGCATGTTTTAATGACTATAATTAAAAATACTGGTCATATATCAGACCCCACTCCAACATCCTTTACTTATTTCTTTCATGTTTTTTTTTTACTCACATTTTATTTACTTATATTTCTTGTTCTGTCTCATAACACTCTTAATAGGTGCTAGGGCTTAAGAAAGCTGAGTACTTTCTCAAGGTCATGTAGTTGTTGGGCAGCAGAATCAGGATTGGATCAGAGTCTGAATTAAGAGCTGGTACTTTGGTGGGCGGATGTATTGAAGCGTTTACTTTTTTGTTCACATGCCCTAGAAATGTCTCTATTCATTATTTTTAAATTGCATTTCAAATTCCAGAGAAATTTTTTTGCTTCCAAATTAGACAATGAATAATAATCTTGACAGCTATTCTCTAAAATCCTTCAAACCCTGTTTCTTTACCTTTCAATTTGGATGATACCACTGAGAGGCAGCTTTGCAGTTAGGAGAGTGTGTCTTACTTTTTATTCAAGAAGAATGAAAACAATTGCGGTGGAATGCACTGATGAACTGACAGATTTTTACCACGTTTAAATATACCCTTAGCTAAGATAGTAACTGAATAAGGCAAAACCAGAGAAATAATTTTCATATCTGGAAGAATCCTAGTAATCCATATACTTGATTCATGAATCCTCAATTTCTTGTTTGTTTGGAAGCTGTCTTTAGTTTTCTTCTAATTTGGCTGAGACACCTGGCATAGCCAGAGATTCGAATACTGCTCTATCTTCCCACTGAGAGAAGTTTTAATAGCTTAATATTATCCTCCTAGATTTTCTTCTGGAGTATCTGGATATATACATTTGTTTACAATTAAAGTAAAAAATTAGTGACATTTAGTTATATACACTGTTGCATAAACACTACTTCTAGCTCCAGAACATTTTCATCTCCCCAGAAGGAAACCCTCTACCCATTAACAGTGTCTTCCCATTCTCCCTCCTCTCTAGTCCTTGGCAACCATCGGTTAGTTTACTGTCTCTGGACTTGCCTGTTTTAGATGTTTCATATATATGGAATCATAGCATGTGACCTTTTGTATCTGTTTTCTTTCAGGGCATAATGTGTTTACATTTCATTCACATTGTGGGTTATATTAATGCCTCATTTCTTTTTTCTGGCTTAATAATGTATATACGTTGTATCCATATAATGTTTATAGAAATGTGTGTGTATGTATAAGCCTACCTTGTTTCTCCATTTGTCTGTTGATGGGCATTTAGTTTGCTTCCACTGTTTGTCTTTTGTGATTAGTGCTTCCTGTGACTGTATTTATTTGAGTACCTGTTTTCCTTTATGGTGTAGTCTGTAGGGAGTTGTGCTTGCCAACCCCAGGGCAGCACCTCTGGCAGTTCAACCCCATCAGTTGCTACAAAGGAGAAATATGGGTAATGTCCCATGCAATTTACAGCCTCAAAAACCCCACTGCAGAGTCAGCTAATGAGCTGCTTCTGACTCTGGCAATGAGTTCGAGAGCATATATCTAGAAGTGGACTTGCTGAGTCTTTGGTAATTCTACATATATAACCTTTCAAGAAAACCGCAAAACTATTCTTCACAGCAATTACACCATTTTGTATTTTCCTCAGCCATACAAAAGGGCTCTGATTTCTCCACATCTTGCAAATTTTTTTTCCATTTTTAAAAATTGTAGCCATCCTCTTATTGCCGTTATGTACCATCAAGTCAGAAGTGACCCATTGTTGACCCTCCAGCAAGTTTTCAGAGGCAGTTACCAGGGAGAAAGTTGCTGATGGAGCAGATGGTGGATTTAAACCATGTACCTTTGTGTTGGCAGTGCATTTCCTTATCACTAAGCCACCGGAACTGATACTATGATTTTTATTTCCCATAGGAGCCCTCATGGTGCAAACAGGTGGAAAGTGAAGAAATCTAATTCTGTATAGAGTTACCGTTTTAGAAACACTTTAGTGCAGTTCTCTGTCCAGTAAGGTCACTGTATTCCAGAATTTACTCTGTAACAGGAGATTGCATTTTTCTAAAAATATTGATGTTAAATGGAAGAAGTCTACTCAAGTCCTTTGCTCATTCTTGAATCAGATTATTAGTATTTTTATTGTTGAATTGCAAGAGTCTTAATATATTCTAGATACTAAGCCCTTATGAGATAGGTATTCTTGGTAATAATATTCTAATTTAATGCATGAAAGTTTTTAATTTACTTCCCAAATCCAAGATCATTGAAATTTACTTCTGTGTTTTCTTCTAAAACTTTTACTATGGTTTCAACTCTTATTTTTAGTTTTAAAAAGATTTAAATTTAGAGTTTATTTTTGTACATGATCTAAGTTAGAAGTTTAGCTTCAGTCTTTTGCACGTGAATATCCAGTTGTCCCAGTACCATTCATTGAAGAGATTACTATTTTCCCATTGCATTGCCTCCGAATTCTTGTCACAAAGCAATCAGACATAGAAAAGATGGGGACACTAAGACTAAGAAAAAAACAGAGAATGTGAAACGGGATAAACAGCTTGAAAACTGAAGCAACCTCAAGCCACGCCTCTCTGTGAGTTTATTGAGAAACAACGGGAAGTAAATCACAAAGAGAATTCTTTTGCAAATGAAGCCTAGTTTTTCTCTAGTTTCAACCTTAATGCTTAGCTCAGAAGTAAATAATTCACAAATTTAGACTCTTAATACTCCCTTTGCTGAGGGACCTAGTCGCCACTTATCTGCAGGAAGCAGCTCATTTCTTGTGATCTTTTAAAAGAGGAATTCCAATTTTGTGTTTCCTTCTATTCCTGATTAAGCATTTGATTTAACATATAACTTAATATTTGGCTTCTCACAGGTGTGTGGATTTGTTCCTGCATTCTCAATTTCCATTGATCTCTTTGTTTATCCCTAAAACATGATCACACTGTTAGGAGTACCAAAACTTTATAGTACTTCAATTTTATAGGCTTCTAACTTTAAAAGTATGAAGCTTCTAATTTGTTTTTCTCTCTCAGTTTGTTTTGGGTTTCCCCCCCAATTGGAATCTTTAGCTATTTACATGAATTACAGGATACATTGCAATTCCATATAAATTCCAGGCTTTTCCATTTCTTAAAAAAATGCTGTTAAATTTTTTAGAGGCGTCTCAGATGTGTTAGAAGTAACGTTTTCTTAATTTCTTTATATTATTAGTCTTAAGGAATTGCACTGCCAGTGCAGATGTGTGCAGTTTGAATCCACCAGCTGCTCCATGGGAAAAAAGATGGGCAGTCTCTTCCCCTGCAATTTACAGCCTCTGAAAAACCACTGGAGGCACCACTGTGGCTCAGTTCCAACTTGATGTATACAACTTTATGAAATAGAACCTTTTTTTTTTATCTTTGTGATTTGAGTATGTACGGAGTAAATTTGTTTTCCATTTAGCACTTCATGCACATTATGTTTCATGACATTTATAACAGTCCCTACACTGGAACAGTGTTACTCCCACTTCGTTTCTGGATTTCTGTTTCCATTTATCCGCCATTCCTGATCCCTAATGCCTTTGAGCTTTCTCTCTGGGCAAATACTGCCCGTTCGATCTTGTATGGTTAATTGGTCTAAAGAATGCTTTCCTTATTGAGGGTCTTGGTCACCTTATAGATATGTCTGTTCTTTGGCCAGAAGTTGAGTCATGGGGGTGATATCTGTTTGAGGCTGGAAGGAAGACTGTGGATCATAGTCTGGGAGTTCCACAAGTCTCCCTCAGATCAGTGAGGCTGATCTTTAAGATTTTAAACTTTTTTTATCTTTTTCTGCCAGTCTGTCCAGGACCTATTTTTGTGATGAGACCAGTAAAAGCCAGGCACCTTCTAGTTCTAGTGCCATCGAGTCAGAATCACCTTATATCTGATCCTCCAGTGGGTATTCAGAAGCTGTGAATCGCACGGGATGAAATTGCCCACCTTCCTTCTGAGAAGCAGCTGGTGATTTTGAACCACGTGTCCTTGGATTGGCAGCACAGCTTTGCCACTGGCCACCAGAGTCTCATTAACCCAGTGTTGTTGTGTGCCATTGAGTCAGAGCTGACGTGCCAGCAGTATGTCACATGGGAGGAGATAGCCCATCTGTCTCCTGAAGAACACCTGGTAGATTTGAACTGTATGCACCAAATAGATGTTAGGATTTAAAATGCATAGAGTAATTAATTATATAATAGAGTGGTGGTGTAGGCAGTTTAACACATATTTTCGGTTACACAATTCAGTATAATTTATGGTATTTTTTATTACATCATCTGTCTCTTCTTTTGTAATATTTTTAAGTGCCTTTGAATTGCCTATGACTTAGTGACCCTGTGAACAACAGATCTGAGCCTTGCCCTTTCCTGCTCTATCCTCACGATCTTTTTTTTTTTTAAATTTTATTTTACTATTTTTTTTACGTGTGTACCGTCAAATCAGATCTGACAGGTACAGGAGGAGATTGTCCCTCCTGCAGCAGAGCATCTGGTGGATTTGAACTGCGCACCTCCCTCCTCACGATCTTTGATGTACTAATTTGAAGCCATTGTTAAAGTCACTGTGTGATTCATCTTGTTGGGGTTTTCTCTCTCCAACTCTTCAGGAATTATGTCTTATTTCTAAGGACTAGCCACTCCTGACAACATACCCAAAGTAATTGAGACAAAGTTCCAGCATCCTTGGCTCTAAGGAGCATCTTGATTGCATTTCTTCCAAGACTGACTTGGTTGTTTTTTTGACAGGCCATGGGATATTCGGTTCTTTTTGCACCATCACAGCTCAAAAATACCAGTCTTCTATCAACCTTATTCATTGTCCAGCTGCATAGGAAGCAATTGAAAATGCCATAGTGAGACTTTTATATGTTGGATCAGGTGCAGCTGGCATCATTGCACTTTAGCATGTCTGAGAGGAACTTGACAGTAGATTTTCTTAATTCAGCATCTCTTTGGTTTCTTGGCTGCTTCTACCTTGGATGTTGATTGTGGATCTCAGTAAAATGAAATAGTTGACAACTTCAATCCTTTCTCCATCTATCGTGATTTTGCCTCTTTGTTTACAGGTGGGAATTTTTCTTTTCTTTTTTTTTCCCCCACCCTTTTTAATTTTCATTCATTCGTTGTTGCACATCTTTTTTAAGTTCACTTAAAAAATACTGTTTTGGGGAGCTCTGGTGGCCCAGTGGCAAGGAGCTGCAACTACAATCCCAGAGGCGCACGGTTCGAATCCACCAGATGCTCTGCCAGGGAAGGAGGGACAATCTCCTCCTGTACCAGTCAGATCTGATTTGACGGTACACTCACACAAAAATAATAAAATAAAAATACTGTTTCAATGCCGTAA